GGAGCTCACCAGTGGTTCTGGACAGTAGCCAAGGTAAGGGGCCGGGGCCGAGCCCAGCCGTGGTTCTGTGCAGCAGGCGAGGTGGCAGTGGTTAGAGCAAGGTACGGGGCCGAGCCCAGCAGTGGTTCTGTGCAGCAGGCGAGGTGGCAGTGGTTAGAGCAAGGTACGGGGCCGAGCCCAGCAGTGGTTCTGTGCAGCAGGCGAGGTGGCAGTGGTTAGAGCAAGCGCCAGGACGCTAGCAGATGGCCTAATAGGTACGTCACTAGACTCCCACATAGTCCACTGCAGTTCAGATCCCACACCCAGTGGATTAAAACTCACTCTGGCTCATGTGTGTGCCCCAAATCCCAAGAGAATAGAAGGGATTGCGGTGTGTCCATTTTCCCTGTAGGGGTGATTTCTCAGTCTGTCTCTCTGGAGAGCACATATACCCTATCACAAAAATCTCTCTCAAAAAAAAAAAAAAGTACTGAGCCCAACAGATGGCATAATGGTTACATTGCTGGACTCCCAGGTAGTCAGCTGGTTCAAGTCTAGAACCTGGTAGCTTAAAACTCACGCTGCGTGCGTGTGCTGCGTGCGTTTGCGTGTGCTGCGTGCGTTTGCGTGTGCTGCGTGCGTGTGCGTGTGCTGCGTGCGTGTATATGCGTACCCAAGATCTGAGAGGTGAAGGGATTCTGAGGTGGCCATCCCCCAGGGACTGATTTGTAACTTTGTCTCTCTGGCAAGCGCACGCACCCTATAGCAAAACACTCTCTTTTAAAAAAACAAAGTGCCAGGGGCCAGCAGGTGGTGGGGAGATTGGGGTGCTGACTCTGGCTCAGCCCCAGGTGCATGTGCGTGCGCACCCAGAATCCTGAGGGGAAGGGGTTGCAGTGCGGCCATCCCCTGATCCCCTCCAGGCGGTGATTTCTCACTCCCACTCTTTCTCTGTCTGGGCGCAGGAGCCCTGTAGCAAACAAACAAACAAAAAAACAGAGCAAGCACCAGGCTCCAATGCGGATTTCACTCAGCGCTTTATTTTATTTTTCCAGTTTTGGTAGAAGGTGCATGTGGTTATTGGAGGGAGGGAAAGACAGACAGGG